CGCACGCAAGCTCTGAAATCGCTCCCTGGCTTCAATGCCGACTTTGACCAACGCCGCTATGGGGCTATGTGCATGGATGTTGATGGACAATGGAGGCCAGTGCAGAAGAGCATAATGTTGACCACCAAGAAGTCCGTCCTGGCAGCCCTGCACTTGAAGTGTGAGCATGACCACCAACACTGCCCACTTGAAGGAGCTGCTCCCGGCTATGGCCCTCGCGCGACCTACCTCGAGGACTACCAGCCCGCCTTTGCTGCCACCTTGGCTGCAGCGATTGCCCAGCCGGAGCCCGCTCAGTTATGGGATTCTGCATTTGTGGTTGACGCCTCCGAGAAGAAGGCCACCGGCCACCTTTCTGAAGCTGCAGTAGGAGCATCGACAAGACGCCCTTCGGACAGTCCAACGACTGCATCGCAACTTGGGCCATCCTGCACCACAAGCCTTGGCTGATTTGTTGATGGCTCGTGGAGCTCACCCTTCCGTTGTGTCAGCCGCCAAAGAGTACAAATGCGTTGCTTGCCTCAAGCACAAGAAGCCGAATCAGGTGGCTCCTTCTTCAATGCCACAGCAATGAAGTTTCAATGAGGCCATTCAAGCGGATGTCTTCTACCTCAAGCCTGCCGACCGAAAGTATGCAGTTCTCAGCATTGTCGATGTTGGCACCAAGTTCATGGCTGCCTGCTGTGCCCCAGAAGAAACGTCCGACTCCTACATCAAGGCCTTGGAGAAGACATGGGTCCGGCATTTCGGACCGCCACGGATCCTCATCACCGATGAAGGCGGCCCCTGGCTCGGAGGACCATTTGAGAGCTGGACCAGTGCACTCGGCATTGATCATCAGGCGGCACCTGGAGAAGCTCATGAAAGACTGGCTCTAGTTGAAAGACGACATGCAGTCATCAGAAGAGCCTGCGAGGTCTACATGACCGACCGCAAAGCTGACCGACCGCCACGGCATCGACCGACCACCACGGCATCAAAGAGTCCCTGAACTATGTCATCCCGCAACAAAACGCCACTCCAGTGGCCGGGTTCACTCCAAGTCAATGGGCGCTTGGCTATCAGCCAGAGCTGTCTCATCTCCTTGACTCCAACCTCAATGCTGCTCAGCTCGCCGGCAACAACAACTCCTTCGAGCAGAACCTGGAGCGCCGGACAGCCGCCAAACTGGCATTGACCAGTGCTGACGCCGACTCAAAGCTTCGTCGAGCACTGAGCAGAAAGTACCAAGGACAGAATCGTGTTGTTCGACTTGGTGAACGTGTTTGGTTCTGGAGGGATGCCCGACAAGGAGCTTTGAACAAGATCCGCTGGCTTGGCCCTGCACATGTTGTGCTTCGTGAAGAGGATCCTGCCGCTTTCACTGACGCCGCCAAGATCAAGACCTACTGGTTGGCCTATAAGAGTCAGTTGGTTCGTGCTGCACCTCACCACGTCCGCGGCGACATCCTTGGTCCTCAACATGTTCTGGACGACATGCAAGCTGCCTTGAACACCGTCAGACAGCTCAAGTCACGCGGAGTCACCCGCTACTATGATCTTCGAAGGGCCAACCGCCAACAGTTGGACGATGTTGAGGAGGATGAACAGCAAGATGATCCTGATGGCCCTCTTCATGATGAAGCTGATGAACCACCGCGCCACCGACTACGACTAGAGATCCCTGAGAACACTGGCTCAGGCGCCAATCCTGAAGAGCCACTGGCACCGACCCACTGGCACCGACCATTGAGGTCGAGGAGTACACTCCAACGTCACCAGCAAGCACACTCTGGATATGCACCGACATCTCCATTGGCAGCGCCGCCGCCTTTGCCAGAACCTCCGGATGCACGAGCAACGCCGCCACTGATGACACCATTGTCGCCAGGCGCTGCCACAGATCACGGTCTAGAGCACCGACCATAGCTGAACCAAGTGAAGAACCCGCGATTCCCTCGGGACGCCAGTCACCTTTGGCAGAAACGACACCTGTGACCCCGGCTCCAATTCCAAGACCAACCTTGGACCCAGACACGGCACCTCTGTACGAGACAGTTGATGCTGAAACCTTCAGCCAAAGAAGAGCCCGATTCAACAGACAGGAAACACTGAGCTTCCGCCCAGTTCGACATCAGCGAACACAAGGTCCACGACCCTATGACCCTGAGCCGCCTCACATGACTGAAGCACCATCTCCAGGGAGGAATCCCAATCATGTGGCAGGCCAAGTCACCAAGCAGTACTGTCAATCAGATGACATCGACATCCCTGAGCCCTATGTGATTGATGTGCCAGTGAGGGTGAGGACCCCAGATGACTGGGCTCTGGGCGCCAGGCAAGTAGGCATTTTCTTGCCACATGAGTGGTGGGCCTGGATGAGTGACAAAGAGGCTGTCTCTGGCTTGAGTGGGCTTGCAGACTTTTGGGAGGGACAAGATCTTTCAGATCCCAAAACTTGAAGGGAATCCACTGATGACAGAGGATTACAAAACATTTTGCCCCATTGTGATCCATGGGGATGGGGGGGCATTCCAAAGATCAGACTCTATTGAAGTGATCTCTATGCGATCTTTATTGAGTTCTTCCAATGTCTCCACAAGTCAGCTGCTGCTTGCAGCAGTCCCCAAAAGCTGCATCAGCAAAAGTGACAAGGACTCAGAAGACACTATGAGATGTTTGTGGGAGGTCTTGGCATGGTCCTTCACCCACATATACTATGGAAAATGGCCTGAATTTGATCATGCTGGCAGGGCTTGGCCACAGAAATCAATGAGGAAGGCCAGAGCAGGATCACCACTCAACCCTGATGGCTATTCTGGCGTTATTTGGTCCATCACAGCTGACGGTGAATACACGCAGAACTCATTCTTTCTGCCAGGTCACAGTTTCAATGATTGCTGCTGGTCTTGCCAAGCAAACAAGAGTGACAGACCACACAATGACTATCGCGCAAATGCAAAATGGCGAGCTACTGTAGTAAGCCATTGTGGCACCAGCCCCACTTCACATCTTGTGACCACCATCCCAGGTGTGGTGGGGAACACATTTGCATATGATTGTCTACACATTCTTGAGGAGGGTGTGGCATCACACATCCTTGCAAATTGCATGTTTGACTTTGGGGTCAAGGGGCCATCCTCGCAGGATCAGAACTTGAAGAATCTTTGGAAGAAGCTTTGCCAGCAATATCTTGAACAGGGGATTTCCTCCAGCAACCAGGTGAGGAAATTGACTATGTCCAGCTTTTGCAACCCCAAATCCAAGCAGGACAGTTTTCCTGTGATGTCAGGTGTCAAGGCAAGGCGCATGAGGTACTTAGTGCCCTGCATCTTAGAGATTGTGAGGGAGATGGAGAAGCCTGATGATCCATATAGCAGGCACAGGGTCTGTGTGGTTGACAATTTGGAAAGGATGTATTTGGCAATGGAGAGCTGTCACATCCACATGACAAGCAAGGCCTCACAACAATTGTTGAAATGCACAAGCAGCTGCCTCTTGCACTATGTGAAACTTGCAAATTTGTCCATAGCTTCAGGCTCTTTGCAGTGGTCGACAGTGCACAAACACCATTTAGCCTGTCATCTGGCAGAGCAAGGCAGGTGGATGAATCCAAGGTTTCAAACCACATATTCTGGTGAGACTATGGTGGGGATGATGAGTTCCTTGGCACATTGCTGCCTGAATGGGACAGCACCTCACCAAGTCCCTCTCAAAGTTGCTCTTCGATTCAGGTTGTCAATGCATTTGAAGTTCATGGGCAGTATGGAACTGCTTGATTCTGCTGAGGAATCATGAAGTGGTTGAGCTGGGCTTGGACCTGCAAAAGGGCCAAAAGTTTAGCCTTGAAAACAGGCCACAAACCTTGGCCCTGCAAAAGGGCTACAAAATCTTGCCAAAGAGCAGGCAAACACAGGAGAAAAGATGAGACATTTGCAGCTTGCTGGGATGAGACATTTTTCAACTGACCAAACTTTTCAACCAACAAAAGCCCTTATTGGTTCATATTTTAAAACAATAAAAACCCTTATTGGTTTAAATCATAAACCAATAAGATCTTATTGCGTTGTTTCAATAAGCCAGTAAGAAGTCTGTTTCAATAACAGTGATCAAACTATTGAAATGGCATTGCTTTATTGAAATGATGGTTCCTTATTGAATCTTTTCAATAAGGCGTACTCTGGGTTGGTGAAGTCGCAAAGGATGCGGGAGCCCCAGACTGGGGCTCCGCTACCAATGTCAAACTTGTAGGGCTCGGCGCACGAGGTCCGAGACAAAGTGCAAACGATGGGGCGGAATCCCACCCCGCGGCCGCTCACCTTTTACAGGCGATGCCCACCCATCTTGAGTGGATCGAGTTGCGGAACAAAAGAACTGGCTCGACCATGCTTCAACTCAAGTGCTCAGCGTGCACTTTACACATGGAAATAAGCCTCAAGCCATCCTGAGCCCGCTTCCTGAAAGCTGCGCTGCAGCAACGGGTAGAGGGCAACAAGCCGGTCCTGGCTGTTTCTGAAAACATCCAGAACCGCTCTCCTCAAGCAGAAAAGCAAGCAGTTCACAGCGTTTCAAAAGTATCGTGCCAGGATTGCAAATGTGACCTAAAGACCTACATTTAGCCTGTCAATTAGCCATGTTTGCCATCTTTTCAGCGCACGCCTCCGGCAAACCTTCTGCCACCTCTGCCTTGCAGTCCTGGTGCAAGGAGGTTGCCCAGAATCTCACACTTTCAAGAGGAGGACGACAAGAACATTGAAGGGCAATTTGAAAAGCGGCCTTGCCGCGCCGACGAGCGAATTAAGTCCAGGCTTCTCTTCGTCCCAGCGCAGCAACACCTCAAAAATCCTGGATCTTGACGAACCCTTCCAGATTTCCTCATTCTGTCGCAACCAACTCCTCACTGCAGCTACCTCGAGGAGGCGGGATCCTTCTCTCCCTCTGAAATGTTTACAAAAACTTTACAAGTCCTTTCTGAAACATTGCCTACCGAATCTGCACCTCAGCACCCTTAAAGCACACGATCACTGCCTTGGTCTGAAGTCTGAATAACATCTGAGACTTAATGCCTAGGAGACTTACAGTAAGTCCAAACAAAGCAAGACAGGTCATTGAATAACTCTTGAGCCAACTTGGGATACCTGTTCCAGTTGGTTCTCTCGTCTTCAAGCTCAAGTTACAGTAGGCTTCAGACGCGCCCCCCCAGGCATCAGCAATTGGAAGGCGGCACCTAGTAGCTTCTCCAACCTTCAGGGTTTGCCATTGCACTCTTGATCTGGAAACCCTTTGTCTAAAAGCAGAGGCTCCTGTGTTCAGGCTTCGATCATACGCAAAGGATATCTCGCTTCCAGACACCAAACTCCGAAACCCTTATTGCAACCTCCCACTTGCATATCTCTCCAAGACTCTGCAGAAAAGGGCCCTATACCATCTCATGAAACCTTGCCAACCTTGTGCCCACATCAATGACTCACACAGGTCCCCTGCTCTTGCACCTCCTGATTGAGATGTGAGCGGATCGCCTGCGAATGAATGGCCACATATCGCATGCATGGACTTGAGCGCTGAATGGTACAAGTTAGCCACACCAAGAAGAGGTGTGCAGGTCCGACATCGAGCCTGAAAGACCAGCCTCGCTGGCTGCTGGAAAGGGCTGCTACCCACGGTCTTCGCCTTCACGTCAGCAACCACCTCACCATATCTTGGACTTTTGGGGCGATACTGCAGGCAAATGCTGTGAGAAAAGCGCATACAACACTGGATCATGGTCCTACATTCTGGAAAAATGCCAGGGCTAGCAACACTGGCTTAGGTTCGTGTGAAGAGCGCGCCTCCGCCAGTTCAATGGTTCGCTGCAATGGACGCTTGGCACAAATGGCCTGGCTCAAAAGCACAGACCGGCGTGACCAGTCAGTGACCAGTTACAAAGACAGGTATTGAGCAGCCTGAAGGTAGCCCTGCCTCTGCTAAACGTGCTGCAAGAAAGGGGTCCCGGTCCTGCCCGGCTTGTGACACGTTGCCAAATCCATGAGTTCTGAATGACTTTGAGTTAGAATGGAAACCCAGGGAGTCGAGTTTGTGAAATTTCGCCGTATGTACCACCACAAGGCTGGCACATCGGTCTCGCAGCATCCTCTCCATAGCTGCAGAGAACCCAAGCCAGTTCTTCCGGCGTCCTCAAGTTGCAAATCAACCATGTGACTTGTGACCACAGAAATCATCTATATGGTTCTATATCTATACCCTTCAAGAATGGCCCTGTCTGTTTTGATTTAGAAAAATGTTTCTACAGTCGTAGTTGGCCCAGCATAGCCGTTACATATGTTCCAGCTTGGTCCATCCCTTCGAGGCGTCTATACAAAAATCGATGTAAGAGGTCGATTCTGCGAAGATTGTAAAGCCTGGATCGATACCGTAGATGTCTAGGAACCATCTTGAACCTGCCTCCCCTGTCCGGGGGAACGCGATTGAAAAGCATACCTTGAAGCTTCGGTTTCATTTAGAAATCGGTTCAATGCGCTGATCTAGAAAATACAACAGGTGCTTCGGCAGCGCTTCATAGAATTCATTCAGAACTGTTCATCGCTTTTGGACTATGTCAAACGCTCTCAGCCACATTGACATTTGAACATACTAATCTCGCACGCAACCTTCAACATCCCTTGCTGAGTTGGTGCCACGGAATGGACCAAAAGGGTCGAAAGAGACCAAAGGGTGAGAAAGAGCGAGAGAGCTCGAGAAAGAAAGAAAGGGTAATCGAGTGGTGTGGAAAGTCACACAAGGCCCGCGGTTCGGCATGGGGCGTGTCACCTAGGTATCCGCTTCTCGTCCGATGGACCCTTTGTGATAATCTTTGCGTCAATTGACACCTTTTGTCGTCGTTATGAATCGCGGGAGCGGAGGGCCGACTGACTACTTTTGGGGACCACGACGGCGAACCACGAATGGTCTTGTGACAAAGAGTTCCTTGCTCAGTCCAATTTACTATCACTTTGCTGCCAATCGGTAAAGCAGAGGACATCTCCAAGTCGGAGAATCAACGACAAACTTTTTCATGAAATCATCGGCCCGAAAATGGTCTGAGCTTATTGGAGCAGTGTTGCAGAGCCTGATGTGTCTTTCTTTAAAGAAATGATTCCTGCACGACTTAGGATGCATAAAATGCACACTGATGCTTGCAGATCTAACACATAGTCTGTAAGTAAATCCAGCTTTGCTGGGCGCCAAACACGTTGTCCAGCCATTCGGAAGCGGGGATACCCTTGCGTGGATTCCTTGGCTCACAGAGTCCTAAAATTCTACTGTAACTGAATCTTTGGGGTATCCCTGACTGGGTGATCAGCAACAAACCAAAAACTTGAGCTTCAGCTGTTTTAGCTCGCAATTCATCATTCACGCGCATGATCGTGATGGCACAGCAAATCTGCGCTGTCTAAATGCGGCAAACGCTGTTTTCGTGCTCCAGCGAAAAGAGCCCGGCACCAAGCTAGGTTCTAAAGCTTCAGCTGCTTATTGTGGCAATTAAGCCATATATATATATATATGTATATACACATATAGGTATACATATGAACTCACAGTCCCTACTGTCTACGATGCTCCGCAATATGCCACAAAAAGTTAAACATAGTTAAACAACTTTAAACAAGGAACAAACTTCCACACCCGCTCTTTCACCAGAAGCGATTTCTTTCAAAACCAAAAGCCTGCCCAAGGCTTTGTAGGGAGACCGCCCTGGGCAAGGCCGCAAAAAGGGCTCCTTCCACATCCCTTTTCTGCCCTTACCCGTGCTCAAGTGGAGTGGCACAGATTGGTTGTGAACATGCGAACAAAAGGCGCCATCACAGCCATGTCCTCGTTTATCAAAATTTTGGTGTTTTTGGGCTGCTTGCCACCGCCCAGCTTCTCAAAAGAGCAACGAGTGGCAAACCAAAATGGCGAGTTCAACAGTGACAGTGACAAACTCAAAGGATCCTACCCGCTTGCCACTTGTAGCCAGGCCCAAACGAAGGACTGCTGACGATTTTGCTGACTTCATGAGAAAGTGGTTATTCCTTAGTGAGTTCACCCCTCCTCAACATGGATCCTGAATCCACGTCCGGTTTTACATGTTACAAAGAGTAGGTGTAATGAAGTTCAAAACCAACAACCATGCATTTCGTTTATTTAAAGGACCATGTTCTAGCTACATGTTGTAATTTGTGAACCTGCCGCCACCCTCTGGTCACTCCAGGCGTGACATCAGCTCAAGCCACAACACTGCTGTGATGAGTTTGGGTCTGTCTCGTTAGAACCATGTAGAACCGGGACGTAACCCATAATGTAACATATATCCTTCTTTGCGTCTCTTTGCCTTGCGTTCCTCTTCGGTCGAGCTGATTTCTGAGGTATTCAAGCGTCCAAGACCGACGAGCTGCTGAAAATTTGCTCAAAGTACACCGGTATACTCCCCTTTCGACCCAGGAGAATTGCACCAACCTATGGTTGGACAAGGCATCTGGCCAATCTACAGGTGAGCGGCATGCGCATGTCCAAAGGCCCATCTTCAATAGGCGAGAAGCCACGATGCTTTTGATCCTCAGCAGAACACCAAGCAACTTACAGATTTGAATGGCCAGAGGTCCTTCCCACCACAAAAGTGGAGATGAGGCATGGCTGCAATCACAACTCCCCAAAAGGATACTTCCTTGTGTATAGCCATGGCGCCTTCAGGGTTCATTGGAAGATATGTGCAATACGGGGTGTAGGAGTGGTCAGAATGGGACACGCAGCAGCGAGAAGCAACCATTCACCTTCTGTCTGGGAAACCGCCTGTCCACAACAGGATGGAAAAAATAATAATCATGGACAATCAAAGACTGCGTGGAAAATATTCAAATGGGCCAAATGATTGCTTTGGATTTGGATTTAGATGTTGTCTGATTGATGGTTTTTGAAGTCTATGTCTGTGTGAAACCCTTGGAGTCACAGGGTTTCTTTGGAATTGGTTCTTGGTTTCATGTTTTTGGTGACACGGATTTTCGCAACCGTGGAGGCGTTCACTTTTTCGCTGGTTCTTGTACATGTAAACGACATGTCTATGTAGTTGGGTTGGGGTGGGGTGGGGTGGGGTGGGGTGGGGTGCAATGGGGCATGTTAACATTCATGTGCACTTGCGTGGGACGTTGATGCTATGGGTTATGTAAACGTTCATGTGAACTGGGGCGGGGTGGGGTGGGATGGGGCATGCTAACGTTCACGTTAACTTGCGTGAGACGTTGATGCTACGGCTTAAATTCATGTTAACTGGGGTGGGGTGGGGTGGGGTGGGGTGGGGTGGGGTGGGACATGTTAACGTTCATGTGCACTTGCGTGGGACGTTGGTGCTATGGGCTATGTTAACGTTCGTGTCAACTGGGGTGGGGTGGGGCATGTTAACGTTCATGTGCACTGGCGTGGGACGTTGATGCTATGGGTTACGTTATGGTTCATGGTCACTGGGGTGGAGCGGGGCGGGGCGTGTGAACGTTCCTGTGAACTTGCGTGGGACGTTGATGATATGGGTTACGTTAACGTTCTTCACGTGTGGGGTGGGATGGGGCATGTTAACGTACCCAAAACGCAGGCGATTTGCTCACCCACGCTTGCGAAAAGCCGCGTTACCATGTTTTTACCGCATCAGGGGCACTGAGCACTCCTTGGCAAACTCAGTGCAACGAAGCTGTGCCTTGGAGTGGGAAGCACGGATTGATCACCCGTGTGTACCTGCATTTTAACCGATGAACCTACGTGTGGCCAAAGCTGTCTCATGTTTTGCTTTGCAGTATTCGTCTAGTGCTGTAAAGGGCTAGCGCATTGCCGATTCTCTTTCTGAACCTTCGTGGTTGGTTGGACTCCACTCCATTCCTTTGAGGGTTTGAGGACTTCAGATTCTTGGTTACTCTGTCTTCTTACGGTTTTATACTTAGGCTGGCGTGCGGCAAACCGCAATCGTGTCAGTACGCAATATCTCGAGTGTGTCTGGCCTTCGAGCCAGCCCAGGGTGTACCCGAGGAGTGTCCCCTGTGGCCTTGCTAAGCAAAGGTTTGTCTATGTTTCCATTGCTCGGAAACGGAATAGCTCGCGGCGAACGTAAGAGGCTTAAGCCAAAGTTATTTGCCAAGACTTGACGGATGATTGAATTTGAGTAGTAGGCAGCTTTCGAGCAAGCCATTAGGTGACCGTAGCGGTCCAAGCAGCCCGCCAATGGCACAAGGTGACCACAGTGGTCAAAGCTTCTTTGAGGTACATTGGGGCCTGCTGAGGTCTACCTAGGTCGCTTTAATGAGGTCTGGCTTCATTGGTTTCCAGCCCCTCCATTTGGTTCCCTTCGTCCTTTCCCCTCCACGCACACTTTCTTTCCTTCTTGTGTTTCATGTCTTTCCCGGCTTCATGTCCTGTCATTTCACTCCATTTTTTCTCTTGCGCACACATCTCTCCGGCCCGTAGTTTCCACAGGCACAGCTACTTTTAATCCAAGTTCAGCTTCTGATAATGAGGTACGGTTCGCCTTTTGCCCCTGTACATTTGGTTTCCCTTCATCACAATCACACACTTAGTCACAGTATCAGAACCCACGGTGAAATGGATGTGGGAACGGAAAGGCGCAAAATCAGCTCAACTGAAATGTTCAACAATGTTGCAGAAATTCCGGAGTGGCTTCAGCGCCGGTTGCGGGGATCACACTACGCACCCGAGCGGGAAAGCGTAGCAGTTCACACTTCGGCAAGGTTTCATTCAGTGAGATAGTCCCCAAGCGCAAATCACTTGACTGTGAAAGGAATGCAGGAACCGCAAGAGTGCTGAGTCGGTCAATTTGGAGATGTTTCAAAAATGTTCGACACAGTCCGCAGCGAAGCGGTGGCAGCGATCAGCGCGGCTGCAAGATTCAGTGGAACTGGTTTAGAGGAAAGGTAGCACGAATCACCATGAAAGCAAAGAACAGCGCCGGAAGATTGGAGTGTTGTCACAAAAGCAGGTGCGTCCAGAAGGCGTCCCTTCTGGATATCACGACCAGACTATCACTGACTTCGTTGGGCAATGAGTGATAGTGGTCCGCTGCCCCCTGCATGCATTGTAATCTGACGGAGTCCCTTAGGTACAGGGTGGGACACACACACACATTGTCCTGTCTCGTCCTCCTTTTCATGTCTTCATCTCTTCGTCCATGCTGCGTGCACATACGCACATTTGTTTGTTACTTAGAAACGACTTGGCCTCCCTAATCGGGAGGCGTGTGTGTGAAACCCTTGAAGTCACAGGGGTTCTTTTGAATTGGTTCTTGGTTTCATGGTTGTACCGCAGCAGGGGCACTGAGCACTCCTTGGCAAACTCAGTGCAACGAAGCTATGCCTTGGAGTGGGAAGCACGGATTGATCACCCGTGTGTACCTGCATTTTAACCGATGAACCTACGTGTGGCCAAAGCTGTCTCATTCTTTGCTTTGCAGTAATCGTCTAGTGCTGTAAAGGGCTAGCGCATTGCCGATTCTCTTTCTGAACCTTCGTGGTTGGACTCCACTCCATTCCTTTGAGGATTTGAGGACTTCAGATTCTTGGTTACCCTGTCTTCCTAGGTTTTTATACTTAGTCTGGCGTGTGGCAAACCGCAATCGTGTCAGTACGCAATATCTCGAGTGTGTGTGTGTAACCCTTGGAATCACAGGGATCCTTTCGGATTGTTTTTGATTTAGTTTCTTCATTTTGTAGCAGGGGGACTGTCTACCCCACAGAAGTGACAGTCCAACGAAGAGGCTTCTGTGGCGGTACTGATATCACTGGAGACGTCCAGTGACGTACCTGCGTTTTACTTGAGAAATTTCATCGTGGGCCCTGCTTGTAACTAGAACAAGAAATCCAGCCTTTGCACCGGTTTGCTCTCGGCAGTCACGCATAGGGCTTTGGTTTTTGACCTGCAGATGTGAGCGGACGACGTCATTCTGTCGGTCGATCGTTCGATGGCTCCTTTAGATTAGATGGCCACGCTGAACTTGATGGACCTCCACTTCCTTTTCAGGTTTCCTTACCTGTACCCTTAGGAATTGGAACCCTAGGCCGGCGTGTGGCACCGCTTTCAGTTCAGTACACCCTATCCTAAGTGTGCTTGGCCTCGCGCCAACCCGGGATGAGCCCGCAGAGTGCCTCCCGTGGACCCGTTGAACGGGGGTTTGTCCATGTTCCCCCGGCTCTGGGAACGCAGATGTCCACAGCGGACAGTAGATGGCTTATGCCTCAAGAAGTGGGATGTTTGTCTCATCTTTGGAATTCCAAGTTGGCTCATGCCTTTACGTGACCGCAGCGGTCAAAACAGCCAGCCACCTTGGCAGGGCACAAGGTGACCACAGCGGTCAAAGCATCTCCTGGGTCCGTTGGGACCCGTCGCCACCTCAGGTGCACACACAGTACGTACATGTTCAACAAGGCTTGCCAAGGTTCTTTAATGAGGTTTGGGTTCATCGGTTCTCGTCCCCTCCATTTGGTTCCCTTTTCATCCTTTTCCCCTTCACACACTTCTGCTTTCCTCTTTTCTTCCATGTCCTCCTGTCTTCACGTCTTTCATTTCATTCTTTCGTTTGCGCGCACATTGGTCCCGGCCTTAGCGTGTACGTGCACAACTACATGTACTTGAAACCTAGGTTTTAGGTGGCCCAGGTCTTTATAATGAGGTGGGTTTCATTGTTTGTCCCTGTGCACTTGGTTCCCCTTTCATCACAACCACCTACACCTTTGTCCCGTCCCGTCCTCTTGTCATGTCTTCATTCTTTTGTCTCTTGCGCGCGCGCACGTGCACATTTGCCTTAACCTTAGTTTTACGCCTCCCCTCGGGGAGGCGTGTGTGTGTAACCCTTGGAATCACAGGGATCCTTTCGGATTGCTTTTGCTTTAGTTTCTTCATTTTGTAGCAGGGGGACTGTCTACCCCACAGAAGTGACAGTCCAACGAAGAGGCTTCTGCGGCGGTACTGATATCACTGGAGACGTCCAGTGACGTACCTGCGTTTTACTTGAGAAATTTCATCGTGGGCCCTGCTTGTAACTAGAACAAGAAATCCAGCCTTTGCACCGGTTTGCTCTCGGCAGTCACGCATAGGGCTTTGGTTTTTGACTTGCAGATGTGAGCGGACGACGTCATTCTGTCGGTCGATCGTTCGATGGCTCCTTTAGATTAGATGGCCACGCTGAACTTGATGGACCTCCACTTCCTTTTCAGGTTTCCTTACCTGTACCCTTAGGAATTGGAACCCTAGGCCGGCGTGTGGCACCGCTTTCAGTTCAGTACACCCTATCCTAAGTGTGTGTGTCTTGTTGGGACGGCATCTTCACACGTCGAGTCATTCGAACCGAAGTGTCGACCAGGCCTCCCTGCCAGCTGTGGGGAAGATACACCCAAATCAGCTAATAGACCTTGCAGCTCCGTCGCAGGAGGGAGCACCTCACAGGAACAGCTCCAAGTCTGGGTGGTTCGGGCACAGAAATGGGATGTTGTTGGAAAGAAAGACTTCAAAGAGTGAACAAACAATCAAAGCAGTCTGAAACAAAGCCATTTCCCCTCCTAGTCTCCTTCACTGCCATTATCCATCTCGAGGCCCTCAAGACTGTATGCAGGTTTTAGACTCCAAGGTATCCTGTTTGGCCTCGTTGCTAAAGTCAGCTTGTTCCAGAAAGAGTGAAGGGTAAGAAATGTAGATTTGAGATGTGGAGAGCCAAGAAAAACATCCAGGTGGCCTTGTGGCCAGTGCCGGGATCCTCAACCAATACAATAAACAAATGGAAAGACCACAAAGACCGACAGGAATCCTTCAGAGATTCGTATCATAGTTTAATTAGTTCAACCGTGCAGCGCTTCATGCAGGTGTTCCAACCCGCGTGGTGCGCTACAACCATCGCCTGGATGAGATCACCAAAGGCAGCATGCCTTGGCTACAGTAACCGTGGACTCTTGGTAAGTAACTGTATAGGCTTGCTGAGTGCACCTCAACTCTACGACCCAACACATCGGTTTCATGACTTGCGCAACATGTCTGAGCACGCCTCACACACCCCTTCCTGCCGTTCTGGCAGGTTTCGCCGCCATTCCCGAGCGTACGGAGACACGGAGGGGCTTTGGTCCTTGTCATTGAAAAAGACTACAAACGCAGAGCCAATTGTGCATCAGTCACCTACAGGTGGAGTCTTTAGAAGGACATGTGACATACGGTGCTGGTTCACACAGCAACATGCCTCAAGGATGTTTTCCAGAGGGTGAACCCCAAATGCATGACTTGAAGAAAAATCTTCACATAGGCGGCACAATAGTTGCGCTTCTACTTTTCAGTCCACACTTGCAATTTTGCTAGACACTTCTTCAGAGATTGCGCGTGTGTTAAGTTAGTACTTGGCTTGGGGTTTTCATGACACTTTTTTGACGAACTATTTCAATGCGATTATATAGATATTTCATATTTCCAAGAACGGTGCTATGTTGGCTTCCTCGCTCATGGGCGTTTCAGCTTGCGCTACTCAGTGGTCCATCTAGGTGATCTCGCAAACGCCATTCCATTCCTCCCTGATCAGCGTTATTTCGTTCAATGGCTGTTAGTTCTCGAACTGGCGGCGCTACTTACTGCGTGCCAATCTGGGGCGCGTATGGAAAATGCGGGTTCTCTGGATTATTATTATTGCTTTAACAAATGTGTCTTGAATGTGCTTGAACTTCATGAACACCTCACACTCAAGTGGCCTATGCCGGCGGGCATTATTTGTTCGGACAAACCACTTGGACTTTGAACTGTAGATTGACAACCCGCAGTGACGATGGCAGTAATGTCCATTAAGATCCAGCGTTGATCTTCTGGTCCTAACCTTTCTTCACAATCGGTGCGCTGCTATGATGTATGCTGCACCTTTACGGTGCTTGGTTTGGTCACGCACCTCCCAAACCCATGCAATTCTGCTTGCCTTCGATTGTCTTTTGCGGAATCACCAATTTTGCCACCCAAGTCAACTTTCCAGTTTACCTGCTTTAGATTGTATGCCAATGCCGCTGCCAGGCCTAAAGGCCTAGGACCTTTCCGGAGTGATTCACAACTTGTGGGACGCATTTCTTCCCCTCTGGAGATTGAATTACGTACATTAGGAGTGACACACTCAACCGCACCTATCTGGTGGTCTCTAGCCGCTAGCCCAAACGGATTTGATCTCTTCCCAAACGTGATTAGGAGAAGGACTACCAACAAGGTATAGCAGCAATCTTAGCGGCAGCAAGTTAAAACGATGCCTCTCACCTTCTCACTTGACGTTTCAATACTTTGACATTCTGCAACGCCCATGTGGTCAGACTCTCAAACTCCCGACTGCGTTTGTCGCATCAGGAGATATATTTGATTTAGTTATATAAAACATCTCTGAGCCATCTCTCTCGCTCACCCACAGCCACTCGGCTTGAAAAAACCTCCCAGTATTTGATCTCAGCAAACCGAGCTGATTCTAGAGCAGCTGGTTTGGAAGTCCACTTTCTCTGCCGAAGAGACACACAGGCATCAGGCGCGGCTCGATAGAAGCAAGGCGCCTTGCCTGCGCAGGTTGCCACACATTTAGGAGGGAGTCTGTATGACTGTAACCATTGGTGCCTCACACTCTCCACTGGAGAGAACCCCTACGAAGCGACCTCGTTCCAATCGTCCTTTTGGGGTTCATGGTGGTTGCCCAGAACATTGATTGTAGATAAAGAAGAATTGATACGCCCTGTTTTCCAGTGTCTGGTAATGTTTGGTTCCTTCATTCTTACACCAAACTTGTTACTGTATGCGCTGATTTACCTTGGCTGAGACACAAAGCAAAAGTAGACTCCTCCACTGCTGCCAGACCGTAAATCCAGGACCAGTTGTCCGAGCTGCGCATTGCTGCCATCTATCAACCCTCCCGCAGAAGCAGCATGCCTCTGACACAGCGCTAGGGTCCAGGTCCAACGCAAAAACCTTAGCCACCAGTCAGATTTGAGGAGTTCACAGCGGGTGGAGCATGGCGAACTGGAAACACAGCTGTGGGCCTCCTTTTCCTTGCAGACACAAAAAGAGGCATTGAGCTATCATCAAGTGAAAATGGAACTCTTGAATAATTTGGTTTTGCAGAATCCCCCGGCACGGCCAAAGCTAGTAAAAGGACCTGTGACACACTGATCTACTCCTGATCCCAAACTGTGCTAGTGACTGTGGCCTCTGGCACTTCCAGCAACCTCCTCCGCCGGCGCGCGCGACTCTTCACAGCCAGTCTTATGCAAAAAGAATCATGAGGGCAACTCACGCATGTACACAGCATTCCTCTTTTTCTTTTCGAGTTCGGACAGAGTCTGCTGACGCACGCCTAACACACGCCGTGTTCCAAGGCATGGACAGTGTGATGTTAACAGCGTAATGAAATAACACTGGGTAGCAGTCGTGGTATACAAACTCACGGACAATCTGGTAACGTCATCTTAAATGAACTTAACAAACCGCCCATAGTAACACAATCACCCACTGTCCAGCAATCTCAAAAACTGAGGGTGGCTCCTCACGAAAGGAGACCTCTCCCAACTCCCAGTCCTCGTCCAAGGGTCCGTGAGGCCATCTTGAGACAGACCGTCAGACGGATTGCTCGCAGAGTCAATCCATTCGAACAAGACACGCATACAAAAACGGGAGAAAAGGAAGCGCGCCAGTTCGACAGTCGTATGAACATCCAACTGAGTGCTACCGCCCTTGATTAACGATGGGTGAACCAAAAGGACATCACACATATGAAGGCGGGGACCATGGAACCCAGACCACGCAGGGCCTCACCAGGATAGGTCTGTTGCGCACTGGTCGATAACCATCTGGGGGACTAGGGAAGTCACACCTTGAGGTTTCGAGTCACGCCAGAGGATAACCCACCCTAGACGCAAATTCCCATCTTCGTCAGAGTACACAAGCACCGGTTGGTGCGGGGACCCAACTTGAACACCACAAGGGCCAGAATTGGCGGCCACCACGTCAAGCAAGCTGTAGGGGATCAGGTCTTGGTCGCGCCGGAAAGGTTGGGGCTATCAGCATGTTGGTGGGCGCGCTTGTAAGCCAGTCCACATGGCAATGAAGGCCTGGTCTGGAGTAAGTGGACCACCCATGGCCTCAGGTCTGCAAATCATGATGACATAAAAGAAAAACCAGGGTATCAGCTGCATTGGCACCCAACAACTCAACCAATGCGGGCTCCATGGGGTGAGCTCCCTCGCTGCCTGGATCTCCCCGGCAGCGAGGCGGAGACCTGGTCGCTGGAAGTCGGGCACTGCTTCTCCAGCGTCGTCTCCACCTTCCTCCTCGAAGATGGCATGGCCTGGGTCCAGCTGACCCTTGGTCTGGCACCAGTCACAGATGAGGTGCAGCTGGTCACAAGCCGTGCGCAGAGCCGAATACTCAGAGGGCTGCCGGGCGTAACTGCCCTCACACCAAGAAGTGGTGAACTCACTACAACAGCGGCGCCGGGTCACACGGGGCCACGACGCCACAACGTAGGTCGCCCTCGCTGGAAGATCTCCTCGTCGAGCGGCAGGCGAAAGGGCCAGAGGATCCTCTCCCTTATGGCCACGAAGCCAAACACGCGGCGGCGATGAGAGGCATGTCCCAACCGACAAAAAGTAAAGGACCTCTTAATCTTGAGCCAAAATTGCATCAAGATTAAGAGTTAACACCTACCTACATGTTTCAAGTCCCAAAATGTCCCTACCCAACTCAACCATCCATTCATTTTGGGAAGATAAGAAAAACTTCGATCTGAAACTCTTTCTGGGCCAAAGGACTAGCCGCTAAACTTCTCACATCTGTTCAAGCACACAGATCTGCGGCAACCGTGTATATTTTACATCAATACTGGACGGTCAGAGGGCCTGGAATGTCCACCCCGACCAAACGTTGCATCCACAAAAATGGGCTTCCGGTAGGTGTCCGGCTGGAGAGCCTCTGACCAAAAGAAACACCAAAGAGGCCAATCCAAGTGACACTTGGATTCATTGCATTGGTTTTGTTGCGCAAACAGGTCTCCGTACGGCTCGGAAAACGAGCTGCCCAGATTAATTCCTGGTCAAAAAGAACTTCAAGTTTCCTGAACTGTCCAACCTGCACCACCTCGTCACAAAGGATGGGCAAGTGACCATAAACCCTGCAGGGTGGCACAAGAAGTTGCAAAATAAGGAAACATTTTGTCTCAAGATCAGCGCGGGTGAACATGGGTGAACTGATGTGAACTTTACGGTACGCCACTGTGCTCTTGAACTCGTCTCGCCTACCATCCAAAGCTGCTCTGTCGGCGGAAGGCTGCCTTGACAATCGCGCTTTGTCCTGACACTGGCTTCAGGGGTACAACGCAAAACAACAACGCAAAACAAGAGACGAGGACAGTTTGATAGGATGAGATGATCCTCGCCAGAGAGCAACTCAGAGGCAGAGACACCTGGCAAAAGAAACCAATAGTTTTTCTTCAACTACAGGCTCTTGCTGCGAGATTTGTTGCCGGGCAGTTGCCCGGCCATTGTGGTTCAAAGTCTTGCTGCGGGGCAAGTCACCAACACATTTCAACACCACGTACTTGTGATGCTGCATATGTATATGGGAGTTGATCTAAATTCCTTTATCCGGGATCCGTCATTTTCGCCCAAAAACAAATACTTTAGCCAAACTGTCGCCTTCCTGCGTTTTATTTTTCGCCGAAGTATGTTGTATTTATGTGTGCCATGTCTGTTGTGTTTTGTTCACGTCAATGGCTTCTTCTTTACTGGCAAACTCAAAATAGAAACTTCACTGTTTGTCAGCATGCGTCTTCTACTTAACTGTTGACACCCTGTACGTCTCTTTTGTTTCTCCTGGGTGTCAGAAAAAATCAAAAGTGGAAGAATCACTGTAGTATCCGGTCACTCAAACTTACTCATAATGGGCTGGGGGTCAGATGTGGCAGGGTGAACTTTCGCCAATCTTGAGCTGAACTTTCGCCAAACTTTCGCCTTTTGCGGGGTAGAGTTTTGTGGCAAAGCCACCCCCCCAAAGCAGGAGCAGGAGCAGGAGCAGGAGCAGTAGTAGTAGTAGTAGTAGTAGTGGTAGCAGTAGTAGCAGTAGTAGTAGTGGTAGTAGTGGTAGTAGTGGTAGTAGTGGTAGTAGTAGTAGTTAGTAGTTAGTAGTAAGTAGTAAGTAGTAAGTAGTCAGTAGTGAGTAGTGAGTAGTGAGTAGTTAGTAGTTAGTAGTTAGTAGGTAGTAGTAGTAGTAGTTGTCGTCGTCGTCGTAGTGGTAGTGGTAGTGGTAGTGGTAGTAGTAGTAGCAGTAGTCGCAGCAGCAGCAGGTTATCTAATTTCCACAGCTCATCTAACTTCTGAGTCACTGCCACCAGCTGTTCAGGAAGCAATTGAACATTCATACAAAAGTACATATTTAATCTTTCGCCAGATCTTTCGCCAAAAAAATACGTTCGCCAACTTGAGAAAAAACTTTCGCCAAATGAGATTTTGATATGTTCCGGGTCATCGTCATACACAATGCTGTCTAGGACCTTTAGATCGACAACCATATCTTTGCAGAAAAAGGGTAGCAAGTCCACATAAATTGCCAAAAAGGACATTTGAGCGCAGCATTCCAGGACCCAGGACCCAGGGCCTAGGTCCAGAACGGCGGTGTTCACCATCTGCAGCTGTCGCTCTCCGTCGATAGAGACAATTGACAGCTCATCAATGTTGAATTGCAAAGGGGGTTCAACTGACTCATTTGACTTTGCAGCCCTTACACAGGGAAAGGGTTTGTTCAGGGAAGGTCAACTTGACATTGCATTTTTGAATGAGCATTTCAAGACCCAGAGCCTTCACTGAACGAAATGAAGACTGCAAAGCACAACGTTTGCACCGATGTATGTTCAGTCCGGTATGGTTCCGCCGGTTTCCAAACAGGTGGGTTTCGGAGTCACTGGGTGCAAGTGGAAAACACGTGTCATGATATGGCGGTTGTAAGCTGTAGGGGATGCCACGCATCACTTAACTGTCAACCTTCCTTTCTACTGAGGTTATCTACTGCCATCTGCAATCTCTCATGCTATACCACCTTCTATCTGCCTCAAGGATGTCTCAAATTCTCAAAGGCGCGGACAAAAAACCAAGATAAGCCCCCAGCCACGGGGCATCAAAACTACTAGGCAATGGGACCGTCGCGAGTTCACCAACAAGTATTGTCTTTGCCTGTCAACGCGAGCATATCAACACGGCACTATGCCGACATAGCACAAACCATGGACATGTGCCCATATATTAGTTGCAAGCACGGCAACGCCACTACAAGCAAGAACCAGCAAGCCTGCTCTGGAGCCTGCAACCTTGTCAGTCAGTGCGACAGCATGATCCGACTTCAGCATCTCAGTGTGACAACATGTCAGCGTGTCAGCGTGACCCATGCCAGCGCGCCAGCATCACAACATGTTAGCGTGACACCACACAAGGATATCAGCGTGAAAGCACGAATCACATCAGCATATCCGCATGGCAACCTGTCAGCGCGTCAGAGATACACAGCACAATATGCAGCATATTTGCAGCTTTGCGATGAACTTAAAGTGATCCGGAACTTCCACCGGAAACTCATCCAGAAGCAACCTCCTCCGGAACCTGCTCCAGCACCTGCACGGGAACTTGCTCCCCACGAGACCTGCTGCATTGGAACCTGCCCGCTAACTTGCCCCAGAACCTGCTCCGGAACCTGCTCAGAAACCTCTCCGAAACAAACCTTTTCGGAACTTGCTCTGGAACCTGCTCCCGAACTTGCTCCGGTCCTACGTATGCGTAGGGTATTTTAAATTCAGTCAAGTGTAAATCCAGATCTGAGATCACAGCCCGCCTTGTGAGTAACTTCATCGGGCGCTAGCTTGAGGCTTTCCATATCAGACCTTTAGTCTTGGACGTGTCAATTGTATCCTGTGGTTAACTTGATTCTCTCCTCACCCTGGCTTTGTCAAGTCAGCCTTCGGCTCAAATGTTTTCTGTTACCTTTTGACTTTGGCCAAGCTTCAGGAGCACCAAGGCCTCTTCCCACCTGTCAAGGCCAAGCGTGATGGAGTATTGATTGTATCACTTGGGGTGGATTGCCATAGCATGGGTAATGATCCTCTAGTCTCAAAGAAATGATAAGAAATGTAAGTAGAGCCTTGCCTGGGCAAAAGAAGCTATACTTATACTTGGTCCTTTCATGCCCTTTCAATCTTCAAAAGGTGGGAGTGTGCGCGTGCATGCGAACGGGCGGCGGGCTGGCAGGCGGGCATGCGTGGATGTGCGTTCGTGCGTGCAGGTGGGCGTGGGAGCGGGTGTGTCCGTGGGTGTGGGTGTGGGTGGATCCGTTTTGGAGGTGATTCAGATTGTGGAGAACACTGAAGAACGGACCGGATGAGTCATGTGCCGGTCAACCCGTCTTTCAAGAAACCTGCAACCTGCCAAGAAGTTCAGAGAGGACATGCAGAGGGGAACTTCAGCTTGCCACTTTGGTATTGCATTGACCATGCTGCTGTTGTGTTTGTCCACAGCGCTAGAAGACTTGCGCTCTTACGGCTTTCAAAGCGTGTAGAAAGAATGACAACATAGTTAACAGCAAAGCCCCACATGCAATCGTCACGACTGAGAATATAGAGCAAATCGGGAAAGCCATCTGCTCTACTGCCAAACAGCAAAGTACTCCATTTCAAAAACATCATGTTGGCATTCTTCCCTTGCTTGCTGCCGTCGGCTGCGCGAATTTAGGCGCCAAGCCAAACTGTACCGTTCAACGTTGGCTCGGCTGATCATGGATGTTGTTTAGTGAGGACTGGCTCCAAACAGCAGCCGATTCACGTTGTCCCCCGAGACGCAGTTGTGCAATGAAGTTTCGGTCTTTGAGCAATTTATTATCAATATTGCACTTTGAAGCCTATCGGCATGATGGTCCTGAAAGCTCTTCATTTCTTCTCTTTGGCATTCTTTGGCTAACTTTTCACCGAAGGTGTGTCCAACTTCAACTGAGTGCCTTCGTGCCCGAGCACAAGCTCCCAAGGCACAATTGAAGGTGATTCCCTCAGGAGTTTGTCATGGAAGCTCAGTCAGTGTCAGTGAAGGCCCAACTGGACTTTGACTTTCGCTTCATGACTCAATCACCATCAAAGGTGGACCGTATAACACATACAATAATGCATGTGCAAAGTACTGGTCAATCACTCAACTTTCTGTGTCCCCAGCATCAATTTCAACGCTCCGCCTGAGCCAAGTGGAAGTTGGCAAGGAAACCGATGTGTGTATCGCTTGGGAGAACCCAAAGCCCGGTGGCAATCAAGCCTAAATTCAGAGAAAGTACTGTAGAGTATATTTATATGGAGCAAATATTGCTGGACCCCGGTCTGCTTCTACAAAATGTCTGCCAATGAGACACCACCTTGATCACACCTGAGTTACAAGCTCAGCCGCTTCATGAAGAAGATGAAGGCTCAAATCCCATCCTGAGGCACTGATTTGGTGGGGACGACCATAAGGAAAGTGCTGGACTCAAACTTTGACCGTGGCAATGTGGACTCACCAATATCTGAGTAAAACAGACCCCCGCAATTGTGACACAGCACACCGAGGAAAACATGCGGAAAGGGCGTGAAAGTCCCACCTAGCATTCCTTGAAGCATTGCACCTTTTTCAGCAATCTCGACATACAAGTCTGGACTGCACGTGGGCTTAAACTGCTTGTATAGATAAGCGCTTTGTCTGGCGTTGTTTGCCAGTGTGGTTTTGCAATTTGCAAGCAAAGCATGGCACGCAAAATCTTGCACATAATCGTTCAATGACAAGCGTTTGTATGTCCAAGAAGTTTTATGATGCAAACACAGCTCTTGGTGCTGCATGTCTATTCCATCGAGAAGCAGTTTCTGTTGATGAATTGGTCACAAAACAAAACTCAAGAGCAGAAGCACTGTGGGTGGGTTGCCCTGAGTTGGAGGTACCAGGTACACGGTCTTGAAAGTGCAGAATTAAATTCTTCTCTCGACGCGCATCAATCTCATCTCTGGCATCTTGAACGTCAAACTCTTGACTGAGAGAGTGAAAAGCACATCAAGCACGCTCCACTAAGCTGTTCTTCAGGCCCGCTCCATGAAGACTGGGCCGTTTAGTGGTCGCGAAGCTCCTTGTAAATGCGACTCAAACTCCCCAAACCGATACTCACGAAGGCTCATTTGAGCCCTTTCTGAGGAAGAATGAACTCACTCACACCCACAAGCGATTAAATTCTAGCATCTTTATGATCACCAGGCTCTGTCTTGAAAAGACAATTCCTTCGCCTGCATGTGCAAGTCCCGTTCAAGTGCATCTTCAATATCAGTTTTAGGAAAGATGCCAGGTGCAAGACTTTCGAGCGGAAGGTGTTCCCAACTCTTGCACCTAGCACCTCAAATGCATTTCACCTTCCATGCTCATTAACATCCAACTCCACAAATGGTCAGATGGAGTTTTTCGTTTGTAGAGGGCTTGTCACGAAGGATGCTGGCTGGGCCATGTCAAACACCCGTTAGCGTGTCCACCGTTTCGAAAACTCCGAACACTCTGAAAAGGTAATTTCACAATTTATACCTGGAAGGTTGCGCTGGCTCAATCCACATGATGAGAACGGGCCCACCTGAGACTCCACGCTTTGCCCCTGTCCGCATGCATTCATAGCTGCGCTCAAGGCCAACACATTGGGCTCGGGCCTTAGTCACTGTGAGAATGCACAACGTTACCATCACTAGAACTTGTCAAACCCTCCAAACAAAAACCCAACATGTTTTGCCCCTTGGCTCCTCTAGCCACCTGAGCTCACTGGGTGTTCCGTCCCCTTTTGCCAGCCCTCATCCAGCAAATGCAATGCGCCAGGCCAGTGAGAACCTGAAGTCTGGGCAACATGAAGGTGGAGTTTGGCGTTTATCAACAGTTTGGTTGATGCAGCTTCTAGAGAAGAACTTGGGTTATATAAGGCCGCTGCGTCAAAGTCAAGGAAAAAGGACAAATATAGAAAAAGAATTGCGGATTTGCTTTGCGACTCGTGGCAGGCCAACTAGGGCCGCTCAGGCCCACGCCGCGCTCACAGGCCGACACAGCGGCACCCAAGGTTGCAGGGCCTTGAAGGTGGGGAAGATGAAACAATTTGTTGCTTTCCAAGAAATCATGTTTCTTTTTAGCCCGCCCTTAATTGATTAAGCAGGCTACTAGGTAACCTGCTACAGGATAGCTCACGCTTCTTCAAGGAAGCTCCCCCTGCCTGAGGGCAGAAAGGAGTTTCCTTATTGATTGGGTTCCTGGATTGAAACTTAAAGAATCTTAGACTCTCGTTGACTCTCCAGCTCTTGAAGGAGTTTCTTTGTTAAACTATTCCATTCCCAAACTTCCTTAAAGAACTTGAGCTAAATGAGCAGCTAGTTCAGTGTTTTAGCATTGGATGGCCTTGGTTTCGACTGAAAACGCACTTGCTGTGGCACAGCTGGGCGAGGTTGTTTTGTTCCAACAATTGGCTTCCAGTGAGTGGTTCCTAAATGAGAAATGGCAGTCTACAGAGATTGCGGAATCGACTCAACACTCGAGAGGAGGGAGACACGAAAGGTAGGACAGCGGGAAGAGAAGAGAACGCGAGAGGCAGGAACAAAAATGCAATGTTCGACATGGTGATTTATCCCCTGGGAGGCGACCTTTCGTAAATATAAGTTCATCTGCACTCTAAATGTTCCAACATATGCTCTCGAAATGTTCAAAAAGATTCTTAGGAAAACAAACTTGCCCCATGGCTCAGATCATCGGTGAGCATTGAATCGGAGCATCATAGGATTTGAACTATCCTGAAACCATAAGAGGCTCACGAAGACGTTCCCCAGGAGAGAATTGACGTGCTTCACAAAACAAACTCTAGGTATGTATCCCCTCGGGGAACACCTTTCGTGATTAGAATTTCATATGCACTCTTTCTGAATGTTCAAGAGGGTTTCAACTATCCTGAAATCATGAGAGGCTCACGAAGACGTTCTCCAGGAGAGAATTGATTTTGTGGGGGGGAGGGGGGGGGTCTGTATTGAGAAATCAATTCCAAGGGGGTGGGGGGGGGCCTATTGAAAAATCAATTCCAAGCGGGGGGGGGTTGAATTGAGCAATCAAGTATTCGACCCGGAAGAGCCGACACTTGCTTCGCAAGACAAACTCAACGTATCCCCTAAAGGGCTACCTTTCGTGACCTCATTGAGAGAGAGAGGCATGGTCCTTTGATGCCATCCCCCCAGTTCCCCCGCCAGTTAGCTACCACCCCAAGGTGTTTGCACACCTATTCTCTGGGATAAGGCGTTCTGGAGGGCTTTCAGACGTGGGTCGAAAAACTGGGCGGCCTGGCGGTGTCGATCGACATAATATTCGACATCCAATGGGGAAACCTACTGCAGAAGTCGACTTTTGAGTTGTTCGCCAGGGCGATCAACGACCGAGTCATGCTCGGTTTCTTGGCAGGTCCGCCATGCGAGACCTGGTCTCGCGCCAGGGAGGTGGGAGGGACCCAGACCATTGAGAAGCCGAGTGCCAAGTGGCCTTCCGCATCCAAACTGTAAGAGTGACCAGGTTGCCATCGGCACCCAGTTGTTAGGAGTGGCTTTTCGCTTGTTCTTGGTGGCGCTGTTGCATGGTGCAACGGCAATCCTCGCGCATCCGGCGTGTCCGGAAGATCAACCACAGTACCCCTCGATCTGGAGGTTACCCATTGTTGAGTTTTTGCTCCGCTTTGAGGCTTGCGGCTTGCACAAAACTGCGCATTTGGCAGGGATTGTACAGAGGTGTGGCACCCAAACCGACAGACCTGTCAATAGCACACGGAGGGCCTCAGCTTGAGCATTGCTTTTGGAGAACCGGTCCACCCCTATGCCGAAGAGGTGATGCATCGGGAGGAACGATGATGGGACGTGGAAAACAGGCATCTTAAAGCAATATCCAGAACAGCTTTGCCATGTTTTTGCGCTGGTCATGAACAGAACCCAACTTTTCGATGAAGTACTGCAGCCTATCCCAGCCTGGTTCCAACAGGCGGTTGAACATTTGGTCGTAATTTGTTTGACTGCAAGGCTAGTCACAAGCGTTTACGCTCTCGACGAATGCGAAAGAAAGAAAGTGTGTTGCTTGGGTTGAGTGGACACATTGAAGCTGTTGGTTTGTAGTGGATTACTCTGTTGATGTTCCAAAATCATACAGTAAATAGTAAATCTGGCGTTACTTCCCTCCCCTTACTTACCTCTTCACGACCTACCCCGGGCAAAAAACACATATAGTGTTCTATGACTTGATAAAAACCTGGTCTGTCTTCACTGTGTCAAGGACAGCAGTCTGCCTCGACGCTCAAACTCAAAGGGAACCCTGGGCCTCACGGCTTGATGCGATCTGGTTTTCTTCCATGGCATTTAGTAGCTGGAGGCTCACCTGTGCCCAGTGCACCCAGCGGACCAAATCGGCCACGGAAAACCAGACCATGCAGCATGCAAATTCAAACCGGACAACCAGACAGATTGGCAAATGCTAACACTGCGTCATCACATCTACGTCTACCGACATTTAAGTTCAAGCCGGGACAGGTCCGCAGCCTCCCAATGACGAGCACGCGCACAGGCTGTGATCGTAGCATTGAAGCTAATGTAGTTTCTTTCAAGGCCTGTCTCTCCACCAGCATGCAAGTTTAATTTGATCAGGTTTCCACTGCACGTTAACGTGACCGTGTGGTCCTGAACAAGCACCGCCGACCTGGTCCTATGATTCTCTCAAAATCCATGACCTGCTTCAAACCAATCAGTATTTCACCTCAAAATCTAACAAGGCCCCGGTGTGTTTGGAGAACCTGCAGTGGGCATCACTTCCAGCAATGACAAGGCTGCTTGCCACGCTGCAGCCTCAGTTCTGCTTTGCATGCTGTTTGGAAGCAACTGTTAGTCCACCGGATACTTGTCTCTGTACAAGCCAAAGCCGACTCTTGAAAGTGTTGGAATGGTAGCACGCAGGTTGGCGGCTTGTTTTCTGTTGCAAAGGTGCAGTCATCCGAGACCCAGGAGATCGACCTGAGCGCTCCCAAAGCCGGAAGCAAACACAAGAAGTTGAAAGAAGTGGAGGCCATTGCTATTAAGCTTCCCAAAAATCTAGGAACCAAATCATTAGTGCGAGCGCTTCTTCAAGGAAGCTTGAAGAAGCGTGACTCGAGTAAGCTACTAGCTGCCCAGCTACCTAGCTACCTACCTCTACTATAGTATTACTATAGCGGCCTACCCCCCCAAAAAAAGAAAGAAATTGGAGTAACAGGCAAACTTGTTTTGTTTCCAGCTTCGGAGCCACGTCGCAAAAACTGTGATACTTTGCTTGGCCCCTTGCCGAAGGCTCTGGCGCTTTGGGCGATCCATAGCCGGCCGACGGTTTGGGCACCTCTGTGCAATCCAAGTCCTCCGCCAAACCCGCAACACCCCGTGCAAAGCGAGCAAAAAAGGAGCAGAACGAACATAAAAGTATAAAGACCCCAAACTACGTGGAACATCGTGGAACTGGGCCTACATTGTTAGAGACACTTGTATGATCTTGTATGACACTCTTGTGGGACACCCTTCTAAAACATTCTTGTGGGACACCCTTGTGGGGCATGCTTGTAAAACACTCTTGCTTGAGATTTGTGAGGCAGTCTGAGGACACTCTTGTGGGACACTGTAGGGCACTCTTGTAGGACACTCTCACGTAAGACATTCTTGTGGGACACTCTTGTAGGACACTCTTTTGGGAAAACACCACTCACCCTGCTCACCAGCGACACGCCGCGTTTATGCCATCATGTTTCCCTTCCCGCAATGGCACGAAGCCACGCAACCACACTTTCCGCCAAGGCTGGAAACCAAAAGGGCACCACCCAAGTAGCAGATTTCTTTGTTGGCACTTACAGTACAGTGCTTCCCGACCAACAGCAGTCACCAACCCAACATTGGGCAATCGCCGAGCTTTGTGGGCACCACGACTAGATCTAGTTGCACATCTTAGTGAAACACTTCCTTTGGGTGTTGTTTTTGTGCACCAAATTGAAAACAAATTGAAAACCCTCAAACCCTTCCGAGTCCAGCAAATCGACGCCGTCCCAGCTGAAGTCGGCGTTCGACACAGGCTTCGTTGGCGACTGGGGCAAAGGCATAAAGGCATGCGGCATTCTTGTCACCCTTAAAGAGCTGTATTGAACTTAGAAGCCCTTTGTATGTATGAACGTGTCATTGCCAAACTTTGCCACATCTAAGTTGCAATCTCAAAATGCTCTGCGTGTTGCCCACAGCCTCCACTGGTGGCTGCAAAGCACTCCAAGCGGCCACACGAAAGTAGCTCCTGAATCTGTCGAGGGCCCGCAATGCACAAAACCTTCCCGTTGAGAACACACAGAGATGACTACATGCTCAAAACTAGTCTAGATCAGCCGAAACATGTTGAAATCATACAACTGCGTGGAAAGTCTGCCGTTGATTGCAAGTGAGCTTCATCTAAATGGGCTTGCATCCCACCAGTACTCTGGGTCTGTCTACTCACACTGGCTAGTCTGCAACCCTACGGCCCGACTAATGTGTTGGTGTTTGTCAAAGTACGGGACAGCCCAGATGATGGGATTCTCACCAAAACTTGTAGTCTTTGGATGATTTGGGGGGTCGCATAATTTGAGAACCCCCCTAATATGTATTTGCTCGTCACGACGCCAACCTCGCACGCTCTGCATAAGCAAGCTGTCCAATTCAAGCGTACAGTACAGACCTTCCTTGATAGTGCCCGACCTTTCTTTCTGCGTGCCAGAAGTTCTTTTACCGTTATAGTGACAATACCGCGCAAAAATGTGGTGGGTAAGGGTCCCTGAGAACACATAATGTCCTCTTCCGCGACTTCAAGTGGCGCTTCTCAGAGCCTTGCCAAATTAGCCACGACATCGACTCATCTTTCATGTTGCTTGAGGAGAGGGCATTGATATTAGGACCTGATGTTGATTAGCACCAAAATCGGCGACCCTTCTAGTTTGGATGGCACCTTGTTGATATTGGGAATGACAGAATGAACAACGTCCATTCATTTTCACCACGGCCTGCCGCCTTGAGCTCATAGACGCTCAAATACACGGGCGGGGAACCACAAAGCCTTCAATAGAATCAAGGAAATTCAAGAGATCCAACAACAACCTACACATAAAGAAGTTGAGCTGCAAAAAATCGATCATGTTCTTGCTGATAATAATATATTATATATATATCAAGCTCTCAAAAAGAATGGCAATCTGCTTAGTTTGATTTTTTAAATGCTCTGGGCACCCAGGCCTGTTGAAGTCCAAGGTCACCCCTGGCATGATGCCGCCAGTGATTTCCCAACCTCGGCAGTACTTTGCAGCTGACTGGAACCCGGGACTCATGCAATCTGGAGATGTGGAAAAGAAAACGATTGGTTGCCAGAGTCTCCTGTCGAACCATGAGATGATCAGGTTACAAAATGCGCACAAACTCTGCACCAAGTACGACTCCACAAGAATGATCACACCCAACAACTTGGAGGCATTGCAATTCCGAAAACGAAACTGACGCCAGCCCGTTTTATCGCGCGAACCCCTGACCCCACACCACGTTCTGGTGACAGTGCATCCTGACATTGCAGTATGATCAGTATGACTGTTACCTTGCTGCAACGTCGTGTACCTTAAGGCCTTAAAGGGTTGCCTTCCAGAATCTGCATCAGCCTGCATCACTGAAAAGAATCTTGGGTATCGGACGAACACAGTCGAGGAACTGCGAAATGCCCCAGAAACAGAATGTGTAGACCTTGGGTCGCTCACTAGGCAGCTGTTCAAATTTACGAAATTGCCCGTTGTTTGCCTAGCTGTCCTTGGCGCCTAGCGTGCTCCGTGGACAGCTCTGAAAGAGCCTGGCTAAAATATGCAAAGGTGAGGGCAACAAGAACTTCAACCAACCAGAGATGCCTACGTGGCCATGAGGTGGCATGTGTCGACAGCCCTCCCATCTTGGAAGGTCAAACGGACAAGTGGAACACATCTGTGCCGCAATGAACGGACGACGACAGCTTTGACTGCATCTTCAGCATGTCATGGAGTGACATTCACACCGGTGGAAGGGAGGCCTGGTTCAAAGCTCTCCTCTTCATCGTGAGGACAATCCTGCTTCGTGCACACTGGTAGGAGGCGCCCTGCTCAGTATGATGGACATCTTTGTTCCACGTTCAACCCACTCGCCCGCCCCCGGCCTTTCTCAAAGCTGTCACATAGGCTTTGGCACCGTCACTCCTGCCTAATCTGGCACTTCAAGCCCTCCAATTCAAAAAAACAACTAGTCATCTACCAGCCCATGCACGGCACGCCGTTAGTGAAAACACGCGTGCGCGTGCTTGTGCGTGTGCTCGTGCGTGCGGGCAGGCGGGCGGGCAGGCGGGCGGGCGTGGGTGTGTGTTTGTGTGGCAGGGGGACCAGGCATCTTGCTGCTCACCTGGTCTAATAAAGCTCTCTCTCTCTCTCTCTCCTTCTCTCTCTCTCTCTCTCTGTCTCTTGCTCTCTCCTTCTCCCTCTCTCTCTTCCTCTTTGTCTCTCTCTCTCTCTCTCTCTTTCTTTCTCTCAGAGCGTACCCTGACCGGGTTTTTACATGACACCAGCAAGGGGCGGTAAACAATGTGGAGGTAGGACGTCAAAAGAACGCAGGCAAAGCAGCAGGGCACAGGCGCAAGCCAAGAAGCGATGGAGATGAAACATAGGAACGGAAGTGTGGGGGGTATATACCAGAGCCAGTGAAAGATTGCTACTGGGTGGGAGCTAGAGTCACATGGAACGGTTGCAACAAAAAGCACTGACCTTGCGATGCGACATGCGTGAGTCCATGAACATGAATGCAAAGTGCAGTGCGGATCAAAAACGGATATGTGACCGTTTTTTCAAATTCCACAAAGTACTGCGCCTGCCACGAACCACTGAACACGCGTGAATCCCTTCAAGGACCGCAAAAGGCTGCGCCTGCCACCACAAAGCACTTCGCCTGCCACGAAAGTCCACAAAAGTATTGCGCCTGTCCCGAAATCTGCACTTCCAAGGCCCACAAAGTACTGCACCTGCCACGAACTCTGCACTTCAAGGTCCACTAAGTACTGCACCTGCCACAAACTCTGCACTTCAAGGTCCACAAATCTTTAATCTCCTCGTTAAGACTTAATCAAGAAAAACATGCCTTCAAATAATACCTTGTTGGAGTGTTCTTTTGAGCTGTTTACTTTACTAAAGTCAAAAATAAGATGAAAACAACTCCAGAATCCAAAAAATATGTTTTTTACCCTTTGATGTTAGTTCTAAGCTGTTTAGCTACCGAGAAGCAAACACAAAGATGGAAAATATAACCTGCATATTTGTTGGCCGCGTTAATCATATTTCCTTGCTAAAGTAGACAAACCAGAGAAAACCCTTAAAAAACGATGAAAAATAGACCTCAATAGACCCCAGGTCTCGAGCCTTGGAAATAGTTACAAAAGTTAAGAAATGTGTTTTGGTTTGAATGGTTTGAACTAGTTTTCCATACTAGTTACTAGATCAACTAAGGGACGAATAGTATTGCCATGTTCTTATTATACTTTTTGAAGTCTTAAGTTTTCTGTTGTCCTGCGCAGACATCAAAAACCAAAAAAACATTTACAAATCAAAAAATAAGCAATAGACATTTTATTGATCCCAGTTCTGGAGCCTTGGAAACAATTACAAAAAGCTGGAACAGGCAAATATTTTGTATGTTTCTTGACATTTTCCTTGTGTCTTTTTCATATCTGATTCAAAGTGACAGAAAATGATTCAAAACGCGAAAAGAAACTAAAAGTTCAAATTTGACTGGCCCCAGATCTGCAGCCTTGGAAG